AATAGCTTTTCTTCCTGCAATTTAGACAAGTGAGAAGAAACAATAACATGTAAAGTGTCAGAACTATCCAAATAAGCATATTGAAGGTAGGGGGTAGGGGTTTAAGCTCCAATTTTGGAGCTTCTTCAATTGACGGCTTTGGAGGGGGACCACTTGGCCTATTCAGGGGCTCAAACGGGTGTATTCCTTGCATGTAAGCACATGATGCATCTAGGATATGCATCATCTCCTCAACCTCATCATCAATCATCAAGCTATCAAACAACATGAGTGTTTTTTCTAGAGAGTCGTCTAGCTATACACTCGTGTCAAGAAGTTGCTCATCCACCTCCACAACAGATATCATAGAGAGCTCCTCATAGTGGAGGGGAAGTTGGATTGCTTTGTAGACATTAAAGACTGCTTCCTCGTTGTCCACTCTCATAATCATTTTCCATTCTCTCACTTTAATTATTGCATCACCAGTAGCCAAGAGAGGTCATCCCAATATGATTGGAACTTGTTCTTCAGCCTTAAAATCTAGAATAATGAAGTCAACTGGGAAGATAAATTTCCCAATTTGCAGCAGCACATCTTCAATCACTCCTTCATGGTAGGCTATGGACCTATCAGCTAATTGCAACATCACAGTGGTTGGTCTTGGAGCTCCTAAACCCAATTGCTTAAACAAGGACAATGGCATCAGATTTATGCTCGCCCCCAAATCACAAAGAGCACGACCCACATCAATATTACCGATTCGCACCGTGATGGTGAAACTGCGAGGATCCTTAAGCTTTTGAGGAAGCTTGTTTTGGACCCTTGACGTGCACTCCTCAGTAAGTGCAACTGTATCGAACTCAGTCAATTTCCTCTTGTGAGCCACTATATCTTTTATGTACTTAGCATACTTTGGAATTTTATGAAGTACATCCACCAATGGAATATTTAATTGAACCTAACTCAACATAGAGAGAAATTTGTTGAACATGCGATCGTCATTCTTTTTCTGCAATCTCTGGGGGAAAGGTGGTGGTGGCCTTGCAGCCTCCACTGGCTCTGAACTTGCATCATTATTCTTTGACTCTTGTATTGCCTTAGGGGTCAGCTCTCCCTCAGGTATAGGTTTGTCCTTTCTTTTCTTTGGCACTTCCTCTAGTTCCCTCCCGTTTCTGAGTGTAACTGCATTAACTTGAGGGTTCTTCTCTGTATCACTGGGAAGAGAGCCTGTAGGTATAGTATTTTGATTTGCTGCTAACTGCCCCAATTGCCTCTCAAGATTTCTAAAATCGGTCCTGAGCTGTTGATTGTCAAGCAACAACTTTTTTAGCAAGTCATTTGTACTCTCTTCTGTTTGTTGGGGTGGCTTCTGAGGCTGATTGAAATTTCCTTGAGGCCTATACTGATTCTGATTCTGTTGATTT